CCCCCACCTCCAAAGGGGCCATCAACAGCCTGGAACAGATTCCGGGTTCCAGGGGTTCTAGTCAGAAGTAAAGTTGTGCATAAAGACAAATCCAACTCCTGTGCCCTGGTTGTGCTGCCATTCAGAGCCCTGGGAGAGCTGGAATAAGGATTTTTTTTTTTTTTTGGCAGATCAATTGCTTCATAAATATCCTGCTCACAGTTGTAATCTCATTCACACTGATGAATTTTCTTGCATTTCAGACACCTTAAAGGTACAGTTAATATGAGGTCCCATCACAGAATGAAAGTATTTAAAAATTCAGAGCCAATAAAAGAGATTTTATTAAATCGATCTCATCAGAAACTTTGGGGGTCAATCAAGTGAGAATAATCTCAGCATTTTTATGGGATGGTTTATTATTTCTCTACAAAGAAGAGAGGTGGTGAAGAGAGGGGCGAGATGTAGGAAGCAGCATCACCTCTCCTTCCATTAGGATTTGATGCAGCAAGGAAAAAAAATGGGAAAAAGGAAAAATGTAGTAGCAAAAATGTCTCCAGAGATGGAACTCTGAGATTCCAGCAAACAACAGACACCCAAAAAGGAGAGAGAGAGAGACGAGAGAGATTTCAGGGCTGATCCATAAAACATAATTTAATATGTTTGGAGTTTAATTTTGAAAGGGATATAAACTGCTTTTATATGGTGTATCTAAGTGTGCCTGAATACCAATTCCCAGAATTCCTACCCCAAAATATGCATCCAGCACCTGCCTGCTCTCACCTCAGCTTCGTCAGTGGTCAGTGGAAAACAACATTCCCAGCTGGACTCTTCTCCTCCTGTGAAAATGACCTAAAGCTGTGCCATGGAATTCTGGAAGTGCGCAGCTCTCCCTTCTGACTGCAGAGGGAGCCAAAAGAAGAAGTTTTCAGCCCAGAGGAGGAGTTTTGAGCTCAGAAAGATGAATTTGAATTCCAGCATCTAATTTTTAGATGTCTGAAAGTTAGAGAAGACCAAACTAGTCGCACACTGTAGTTTCTACCCAGCTGATGGTGGAGACTGAGTGAGGTTTTCTTGTCTTGTTAAAGCCCTTCTCACCTGGCTGATCATTGTTTTTACGGCACATTTTACCTCTTTGTTCCTGAGGCTGTAGATGATGGGATTTAGGAGCGGGGTGAGCATTCCATAGAGCATGGACACGACCCTATCCCGATGTGGCGAGTAGGTGAAGGAAGGGCGGACGTAGGTGCAGATGGTGGTCCCATAGAAAAGGCAAACTACGGTCAGGTGAGAACCACACGTGGAGAAAGCCTTGTGCCAGATCCCAGGGGAGTTCCTGGCCAGGATTTCCAGGAGGATATAGATGTAAGAGACCACAGTGACCACGCAGGCACTGCACCCCAGCACCCCGGCCACCACCAGGATCACCAACTCCCTGCTGTGGGTGGACGAGCAGGAGAGGGCCAGCATAGGAGGAATGTCACAGTAATACTGCTGGATTTTGTTAGGACCACAAAAAGAGAGTGTGAAAACCAGAGAGGTGTGCAGCAGGGAGTTCAAAAGCCCTGTTGCCCAGGTACCCATGGCCAGCTGAGCACACAGCTTCGTGCTCATAATGCTCGGGTACCTCAGGGGGTGGCACACAGCCACGTAGCGGTCGTAGGCCATCACAGTCAGGAGGAAAATCTCTGTCCCCACCACATCAATGAGGGAAAAGTGCTGGAACAGGCAGCCAAAGAAAGAAATCTCTTTGTGCTCCAGCAGCAAGGCCTTCAGCATCTTGGGCACGGTGATGGTGGGACATAAGAGATCCAGCAGGGATAAATTGCCAAGGAAAAAGTACATGGGGCTGTGCAGGTGGGAGTCAGTGCTAATGGCAACAAGGAGCGTGATGTTGCCTGCCATGGTGGCCAAATAAATGAGCAGAAACAGCACAAAGAGAAGCAAACGGATTTCTGGAGCATCAGAGAGGCCCACAAAAACAAATTCGGATACTGTTGAGAGGTTGACCTTCTGCATCATTGTGGGAATGAGACAGAGGTTTCCCTGGAATAAAGAAGGTGTAAATTAATCACAATTTCATTCCCCATTTTAAATATTGTGAGGAGATTTTTGTCCATTTTGAAGTTCAAAACCATTTCCAAGCATTGTCACACTCAAAATATAATTTTTACCCACATATTCCTGATGCAAAAGGCAAAATGTAGGTATTACACTTCACATTATCACATTATCATTACATTATCACTTTTCGATAATCCAAAATGTTAGTTTTTACAAGTTGCCACCTCAGACTGAAGAGCTGAAAGTTGAAGTTGCCTTCCCTGTGGTGTCCAGATTGGACACAGCCCCAGGCAACACCATGGGGCTTTCAAGCTTCTCTGAGCAAGGGGAGTGTGGTATAGATCCCTGAAATTCCTTTCAACATAAACTGTTTAGTGTTATTATCACTAAAAGAGTCTAGATTAGTAACTGAAGCTAAAACTTACGTTTTAATGGAGTAATGCTGTTAGAGAAGAATTAAATCCCTCATAATCAGTTGATAGATGGATTTTGTGGGTTTTTTTTCAGCTTTCGGATGGGGCTTGGAGCTACCTAGTCTAGGGGAAGGTGTCCCTGCCCATGGCAGGGGGTTGGAATCAGCTGAACTTTAAGGTGCTTTCCAACCCAAACCATTCTATGATTCTGTCATTAAAAAAAAAGTTACAATTTGGCATCCCATTAAAGACCTCCCAGTTTTCTATAAATTCTACCCTACAGACATCTGTAATACCATTGGTACTTCTAGCATCTATCTGGGCTTTCCCCCATCCCCTTTCCCCAATTCAAAGAAGTCTAAACGTGGCATTAAAGGATCTTCCCATTTACCCTGCTCCATGGAATGTAGCTCAGTATTTACAGTGAGGATTTACGTACCAGCCCTGTAGGGAAGGAAAGCAAAGTTCAGTCTGAGTGCCTCCTTTTCAGGAGACTTTCGGATTGATTTTGAGATGGTGGGAATATTGTACCACATTCTCATTTGTAAGAGATACAGAGATAAATAGATTGATGAAATATTTCATCTGGCCAGGCTCCTCTGTGGTCTCATGTTCTCCCAAAAGGTTGAGAGGGAGCAAAGTCAGGGCTTAAACTACCTGAGAAATAGTTAACTCAGCAGAAATAAAAGGGATACCACTTACGCATAAAATGGGGAGCTCATCATGTGAAATAGCACAGAAACAACACAGAAATACTCACTGCTACACAGAATTAATTGCAGGTGATTTATAGTTGTCTGTATCTCCAGGAAACAAAACAATCCTTTTCTTCTTTCTATATTTTTATGTGACTTAAAAATTATTTTGCTCATAAGGATGAGATGAATCCCGATAGAGCAGTGCTGGAATATTCACACAGAGACCTGCCAGCACTGGCACAAGGGCTGGCTTGGCTGCAGGAGTAGGCACCTCTCTTCTTTAATGAGTATTTATAAATATGAGGGAGTGTCTGGGGACAAGTGCGTCTGACACTTTTTTTGGATGTTCCCTTAATTGCATGTATGAGGGGGTTTTCAGCACATTGCCAAAAGAGGCTGGAAATTGAAGGAACCGAAATTACCAGCACAACTTTGAAGATCTAACAAAAATTCCCCTCTGGTTCCATTAAGCATCCATGTGTGATTTATGGGAGTGCCACTTCCCATGTGATGTCCAGGACTGGGAACAGGTCTGTTCCTATTCCAGCAATACATGACCATAAATTCTGCGCTGTTCACATGAAGGACTCTGGCTGTCCATCATTCTTCCAGCCTGTTTGCTGTGTTTGCAAACTCCTGGAGAATTAAAGATTCTGCATCTTACATGGGCAAAGAGTGATAGGGCAGGAGGGAATGGTTTTTAACTAAAAGGTGAGAGATTTAGATTGGATATTAGGGATTAGAATATCCACTGTGAGAGTGGTGAGGCCCTGGCACAGGTTCCCTGGGAAGTTGTGGATGCCCCATCCCTGGAAGTGTCCAAGGGTTTGGAAGACCTAGGATAGTGGAAGGTGTCCCTGCCCATGGCAGAAGGTGGAACAACATGAACTTTAAGGTCCATTTCAACCCAAACCATTCCAGGACTCTATAAACTGGAATTCCCCAAGGGTCACACAGCACAGGCCTATCCTGCCATGGGAGTGCAGAGCTGTGGCTGGAATAAATCCCTATGGTCCAGACCTTTCCCTGTGTGCTGCAGTTCGCCCAAGGACCATCATGCATCACACTTCTCATGGAGTTTTGCAATAAACCCAGATGCCAGAAAGAGATACAGCAAAAAGATCCATCCCTCACCTCTCCCTTCCAAGCCAAATCATTCTGTGATTCTGTTCCACTCATAAATGTTTCTTTTGGGATGGGATGCATTAGCCTCCTCAGGGTGCCAGGCACTCAGGCTCTCAACTCACATCTAAGTTGACTATTTGCAGGTATAATCTTAGCTGGGTTGTTACAGGTAGAAACATAAGATAGTTTTTGAAATGTTCTGCCTCAGGGTAAATAAATAAAAATTATATTGCATTATATTTTATTATTAACATTAATTTAAAAAAAACCAACACCCCTGAACAAATAACAACAAAAAAATCTCTATTTGCAGAATCCAGATGTGCACTAATTGATATTCTGGATTAGACCCCTCTTTCCCTGTTGCCCACCCCTCCCTGCCATCCCCACTGTGATACACCAAAGTTATTTGATTTTGTCCACTTCTGGAACTACCCAGCTTTGTAATTTTTTTGAGATTTCCATCTAGGAATGCTTATGATAAGCTCAGACTGATTAGAGTCTACTGAAAATGCTCCCTTTTCTCTGATGTCCATTTGTGTTTCAATCTCGTAGTCTTTAAATAAAACTGATTAGCCTGGGATCTCTTCAGTCTTCTTGGGATTTAACAAAAGCATTGTATAGATCCTGCCAGTTCTCAAAGGATTTTTTTTCCCCTTTGAGGCCATTTTTCACTGTCCTCTAGGCGAGGGAAATAAATCTGAGGGTGAGCTCATAGAGCCAATAATTTCCAGGAGAGAAAGAACTTGGGATTTTAATGGTGCGCAGTGGACCCAATTTATACATAGGGACAAACTCAGCTGCTAAAGCTGCACCTTTGCAATTTGTCAGGCACCAACTTTTTAACAGCATCTTCTGAGGCCTTGTTAAAGTCATCCCAAGATGTTTCCAGGGGAGAAAAATCAATTCTATTAAATTGTTTGTCTTCATGGAATGGTTTGGCTTGGAAAGGACTTTAAAGCTCATACCATTCCAACCCACTGCAATGGGCAGGGACACATTCCACTGGATCAGGTTGTTCCAAACCCCTTGTATTGAAATCTCAGCTCCCAAAAAGATGGAAATTTTATTTATCAAAATTGGAGCAATTATTTCAAATCAGTTCACTGTTGATGCCCCCAGTTTATACCTGGTATATAAATTGACACCAGCAAAATAACTAGACCACAGCTCTCCAATTTGTCTTGCATTGATTTATGAATAAAATATTTATAAAAACTTTATTAGAATGTTTAAATAAATTACCACAGTGACACATTTTTTCTCAATTGCATTTTACCCCAACTGACCTAAAGAACAGGTTAATTTTTCAACATTTTTCTCTAATACTAAAAAAAAAATGCACCCTTTCCAGCCCAAGCCATGCTATGATGATGCTGAGTAGAAAATCACTATTAAAAAGAAATCTCATTTGCACAAGGACAGGAGATGTTTAGAAATATCTCTTAACCAGGAGGATCGATGACTCACTGATGCTTCTGATCCTCCTCTTCCTACAGGTGTGGGAGTGAGGGCTAATTTAAGACAGTATGTAGAGACACATGAAGTGGAAATTCACTTCCTGTGCAGCAATTTAGGTTGGATATTAGAAATAATGCCTTCATGGGAAGGGTTTTCCTGCCCTGGAACAGGCTGCCCAGGGAAGTGGTAGAGTCACTAGCCCTGAGGGCATTTAAAAGCTGTGTGGATGTGGCACTTGGGGACATGGGTTAGTGGTGGCCTTAGCAGCCCTGGGGAATGGTTGGACTTGGTGATCTTAGAGGGCTTTTCTAACCTCAGCGTTTCCATGATTTTATTTAGGTAGAATGAATCCAATGCTAAATCATTCTAGCACAAAGAAACTGATGGTGTTCCCCTCATGGCAATCACTGAGTTTCTATCCCTGATTTGGTGATTTGACTGCTGCCCTCATAGACACAGTTTGGGTTGGAAAGGACCTTTCAGACAATCCCATTCCAAATGCCCTGACATGGGCAGGGACACCTTCCACTATCCCCAATATCCCAAATTTCTCCAAGCTCCATCCAAGAACACTTCCAGGGGCAGGGCAGCCATAGATTCTCTGGGAAAGCCATGCCACCACAGGGAAGAATTTAATTCCAATATCCCATCCAAACCCACCCGGTGTCAGTGTGAAGCCATTCTTGTCCTGCCTCCATGCCCTTGTCCCAAGTCTGTCTCCACTCCTTCTCCTTCCTCTGTATAATGTGCCTTGTATGATTTTAATAATCCACTTCTGTGAGAGAATTGTGACTAAAAATAGTCTTACATGTCTAAAGAAAACCCTACCAGCAGAATCTGTGCTGTCTTTATCTTCCAGGGTTGGTGGGTGAATTTGGGGACATCTAATGCATGTACCTCTGCTGTCTGCTGTCACAGCACAGGAAAAACATGTCAGAGAGGGAGACAAGCCTCACCCTGGACTCATTTATATATTTATTTGAAAGCTATGATCCCACACAAGTGAAAGTGTTTCAGAAGTTTGGGGTTTTCAGCATGGATTTTTAATATTAATAGTTATATCGGTATATAAATGTATTTGTACATAATTTGAAGTCTGCAGGCTTTAGCCACTAAGTCATTATTGTGTAGGAGTTGAGTAGGAATGTGACTCCAGGTGTTAACTCTGGGTGTAACTCCAGGGTTCTGCCAACTGAGCTTGTCTCAGGAGGCTCTGCAGCGCTTCCACAGTCTCCACATGGATTCCTTCACCTCACTGCTCCTCAGGGTGTAGATGAGGGGGTTCATCATGGGTGAGAAGGTTGTGTAGATGACACAGATGTACTTGTTGGTGGGCAAGGTCCCAGCGGGCCGCAGGTAGGTGAAGATGCAGGGCATGAAGAGCAGGGTGACGACCATGACGTGTGAGGCACAGGTGGACAGGGCCTTCCAGTGCCCCTGGGAGAGGCAGGCCCGAACCTTGGCCAGGATGAGCACGTAGGAGGCCACCAGCACCAGGAAGCAGCCCAGGGATATGAGGCCGCTGTTGGAGGCCATGAGCCACTCGGTGAGGGTGGTGTCAGTGCAGGCCAGGCGGACGACGGGTAGCACGTCACAGAAATAGCTGTGGATCGTGTTGGGGCCACAGAAGGGCAGCTGGAGTGTGAGCACGGTCTGGACAATGGAATGGATAAAGCCCCCAACCCAGCAGGCAGCAACCAGGGCCCAGCAGGCCCTGCGGGCCATGATGGCCGTGTAGTGCAGGGGCCTGCAGATGGCCGTGTAGCGGTCAAACGCCATCACCGTCAGGAGGAACATCTCCGAGGAACCCACAAAGTGCAGGAAAAACAGCTGGGCTATGCAGCCCTCAAAGGCAATGGCTTTGTGTCCTGAGAGCAGGGCCACCAGCACCCTGGGAGCAGTGACAGAGGTGTAGCAGATATCAATGAAGGACAGATTGCAGAGGAGGAAGTACATGGGCGAGGAGAGCTTGGGGTCAGCCCTGACTGTCACGATGATGAGGAGATTGCCCAGCAGGACCATGGCGTAGGCTAGGAGGAAGAGGGTGAAGAAGAGGAATTGCAGCTCCTGCGTGTCAGAGAGCCCCAGGAGGATGAATTCAGTCACCTGGGAGAAGTTGTCCTGTGTCATTGCTGCAGCTCAGACTCCCATGGCACAGGTCAGGAAGGGGAGGGAATGTGCTGTAGCTCCAAGGCTCATCGATGATGTGAGCAGGATGCATTTACTGCTGCAGAAAGCAAAATGTCATGTCATAAATGACAGAAAGCAGAGTTTGCAGTCACCCCCCCTTCTGTCCCTATTCAGGTCTCTGGTCCCTCCACACTGACCTTCTGCCCTGAGCTCACTCTGACCACAATTTTCCTGCATTGTAGTTGGTGTGCTTCTATTCTGTCAGGGAGAAATCACAGGATCATGGAATTGTTAGTTGGAAAAGCCCTGTAAAACCATTGCATCCAATCATCCCCCCAGCAAGTGCTATATCCATACTGCTTTTAAATCGCTTCAGGAATGGTGATTCCAGCACATCCTGCTGGATAACAAGATACATGAATGTATTCAGATAACAAGAACCATGAATGCTGGAAAAATGCTGTGCTGTCCTTTTTCCTGCTGGAAATTTGAAGTGCCATGACTGAAGCAAATGCTGTCATTCTTAAGCATGAGCTGTTCCATGTTCTGATCCTAATGACACTCTAAACTGAGGAAAGGGCTCTCCAGTTATCCATTCTGAAGATGGAAATACATGTGCAGAAACCAGGTCTGGGAGGTTCCTCACTGGAGCAATTGGGGTTTCTAACACAGCAAAAGCTACAAAACCCCACACGGTTTCTCCGCCTCTCTATTTTTCAAAGGAATATTTAAAGTTTTTCAGTAGACAAATACACTCACTGTCCTGTGGAAGTTAAAGTGGGACCAGCAGAGGAATGCACTTGTCCATTTAAAATCCCTCCAGGAAATTCCTTCACTTCTGCCAAGGAGTTTATAACTCAGCAAGCAGGAGGTTACAAGAAAGAAACCAGATGTCTATGATGCTAACAGCATTAAATAAAGCTGCATTAAAAGATCTAAAAGTCCAGATCATTAGACACGGGACATTAACAGGATGCACACATGGTCCTCTGGTATGTTGAATATCTACTGTATTTCTTCTGCTGCCTTTTTGGGACAATTTCAGTTTAAAGCCAATGCTTCCCTAAAGGAGTAACAGTGAAATCCAAGCCAGAGTATTTCACTGACATGCGTAATAACAAGCTCTGATTATTTAGCTGAGATGGTGGTAGGAATAATACCCAGGTCCTGGTTGTGGTGTGGAACACCCCCTAAATACACCTGTAGTGACACTGGGGTAGTGAATGAGATGTTGATGACCCTCCTTACTGACAAACACCTACAAATCCACCCTTACAGCATTCTCATGCAGAACACAAAGATCACTAGTGTGTGATATTCCTGAAAGTGCTCAAGACTAAGCTGGACAGGGCTTGGAGTGACCTGGTCAATGGCCCTGCCCATGGCAGGGGGTCAGAAAAAGATGAGCTTTAAGGTGCCTTCCAACCCAAACCATTCTGGGATTCTAAATCTGTAACTGATTTTTATTTTTTTTCCCCCTAAATCATAAAATAGACCTCACAAAAGTCACTCACCAGCAATGTTGCTTTGCAAAGGCAGGATTTCAGTGGGGCCTGAGCAAAACAAAGGAACAATCCCAGAACACTTCCAGAGAGCTCACTTGCTGTCGCTCCTCTGACGACCTCCCCAAACCACTTCAGGGGGTTCCATCAGAACCTCTCAGTTCCATCAGAAACTCTCTGCAAGGTACTGCTCAGAAGTTATAAGCATCTCTGTATCTCTGCCAACTCTGAGCTCTGAAAAGAACAGCCCAACCTTCTGTATGTATTTCCTTTCTGCAAAAAAAAACCAAACCAAAACAAAACAAAAAACCTTCAGGAGCATCTACAAGTACAATTATTTCTGTAGCAGAAATAGTTCAAGTAAATCACACAACAGAAGCACAAGACTATCAGGGGTAATGAGATCCCAGAGGCAAAAGGAGTTTTGTCAGAAATCATCAGTGGGCAAAGAGCTAAAATTGTTCTTTGGGTAGTTATTAGTGTAGACCCTGGAGACAGACGTCAGAGTAAAGATGTCTCTTACATAGAACATTTATATAAATTCATATAAATGGATACAAATTTTGCTTTCTGTCCTAATCCAGGATTTCTCATCTACAATCTTATTTCCTACTAACTTACATGTTGACAGCACAAAGCAAAAATATCACTGATGTTATCCCTTAGACACCTAACTTACAACTTTAAAACAAGAAGTAATTCAGGAAATCACTTCAAAAAATGCACAAAGGTTTCTGGTGAGTTTTCCTTGCTCACCAGGTATTTTTACTGACACAGTAAAGCACAGAAGCAACTTTTGAGCTTAAGTATGAAATTCTTGTAAGAATTCTTGGCAAAGTGTAGAAGAGCTTGACACTGTTTCCAGTGCCACCTTCCATATGCTATGGGTGAATATTTGCTCAGCAGCACCCAGAAGTGAGACCTCTAAAAAAACCCCACTGGTGTTCACCTCTAAAGCATTTAAAAATACATTCATTTTATTTAGTGCTGTCTTGGCTAGAGATAGGTGAAGTAGATAGAATTATAGGATAATTATGGAATTGCAGAATAGCTGTTTGGGTTGGAAGGTACCTTAAAGACCATCTTATTCCAACCCCCTGCCATGGGCAGGGACACCTTTCCCTAGACCAGGTTGATCCCAGCCCTGGAATAGGGCAGAAAGGATTTGTTGAAGTGGGAGAGGAAGGGGAGAAATTTCCCCTCCTGTTCCTTCATCAGCAAACCACCCAACTAGCTCTTAATATCAGGTTTTTTTTGGTTTGTTTTTTTTTTTTATGGGATGTTCTACCTGGATAACATTTTCAGTATTTTTAACAGTATTTAAGCACTGATGTTGCAGTTGCTCAGGAGGCTGTGGTCTGGGCCTGTGTTCATTGACAAGCAATAGGAAGGGAATGACAGAGTTCCCAATATTTTTCTCATCATAAAAACAACTTTTAGTGCCTTCCTAATGACAGCAGGAGACAACAGCCAGCTATTCTTTGAAAGGCATGTTTTAAGGCATTCTCACAGAAGAAATTATAGCAAACAAAACATGCTTGATTTTCTCTGATCCTTTAGGAACTTGACCACAGCCCTACCCCTTCCCATTTTTGCTTCCCACTCTCCTCCTGCACAGTTTCCTCATGGCTCCCTTCACCTCCCTATTCCGGAGGGTGTAGATGAGGGGATTGAGCATGGGTGGGATGAGCGTGTAGAACAAGGCCACACTCCTGTCCTCGGACAGGTCACCGGACGGGCGGATGTAAACAAAAGTGCTGGGCCCAAGGAACAGGATCACCACAGTGATGTGGGACCCACACGTGGACAGGACCTTGTGCCACCCCACCAGTGTTTGGCCCCTCAGGGAAACCAGGATGACCACATAGGACGTGACCAGGATGAGGAAGCAGCTCAGGGATATGACTCCGCTGTTGGCCACCGCGGCCAGGCCCTCGGCACGCGTGTCGGCACAGGCCAGGCGGAGCAGGGGACGGACATCACAGAAGTAGTGGGGGACTTTGTTTGGACCACAGAAAGGGAGAAATGCTGTGGGCAGGGTCTGGAGAGTGGAATGCAGGAAGCCCCCTGCCCAGGAGACCCCCACCATACGGCCACACAGGCAGTGGGACATGAGCACGGGGTAGTGCAGGGGCCGGCAGATGGCCACGTAGCGGTCGTAGGCCATGGCTGTCAGGATGAAAGTCTCTGTGCAGCCAAAAAAATGAAGCCCAAAGAGCTGCCCTATGCAGCCTGCAAAGGAAATGGTGTTATTTTCCACCATGAAGCCAGAAATCATTTGGGGAGCTGTGACAGAGGAGTAACAAACATCTACAAAGGACAGGTGGCAGAGAAAGAAGTACATGGGGCAGTTCAGGTGCTGGCTGCTCTTCACAGTGAGAACTATGAGGAGATTTCCTGACACTGTGAGAATGTAGAAAATCAGGAACACCACAAAATATATTTTCTGCACTCCTTGGTTCTCTGAGAGGCCCAGGAGGATGAATTCCTTCATGCTGGAGTTTTCTTTACCAATCTACTGAGCAATGTGCAGTGCAGAGCCTGGAAATGTAGAAAGATAAAGACAAAATGATCCATCAGTTTTTTCTTTCTTAAAAAAAAATTCTTTATCAGAAGTGCATTCTCTCTAAGAAATACATAGTATTAGCATTAAGTCTATCAAGTGCTTTTTAAATTTGTTTTTGTTTTTTTGTTGTTCTTCCTCCTCTACGTATTTAATTTGCCTTCTATGAGGCACAGCCATAGAATCATAGACTCCTGGAATGGTTTGGGTTGGAAGGGACCAAACCTAGAGACCACCTAGTTCTAACCTCACTTCCATGGGCAGGGATGCCACCCACTGGATCCCTTTGGGATTGGATCCATCTGATCCAGGCTCCTATTTTCTGATTTTAAAATAGAGCGAAATCAGAAAGTCCTGTAGAGCAAAAAGCTGATCAAGCACACACAGGAAGTGCTGAAATGTAGAAGAAACAAAATTGCTCTCAAACTCAAAAAAGTGAAGCCTAACGAGGAAGTTGGGAAAGTCTGGGACTTTTCCTGTGCTTGCAGTTTTACTGACAGGAGGTAAAACATACTCAAGAAAGGCGATAAAATGGGGGTCTTATTTTTCTTACTGAAAAATATTTTTTTCAGTCACTGACTTGAGATACATGATATAGTGCAATCAATTGCTCTATATGAATAAATAAATACAATGTGGACTCTTATAATTAAAAAAAAAAAAAAAGGATAAGGAATTGCACCTTCCCCTTATTGCAAGGGTTTTCCCCTAAAATCTTAGGTGGTTAATTGGAAAAGAATTCAATGACCTGATTTGGGACTGCAAAACCAGTTGTGCACATGATTACAGCCAAAGAGAGCCAGGGATGGTTGACAGCTTCAGGGGAAATTTCTTTTTGTATTTTCACATTTGTCAAGAAGGGCAGGAAAAAAAAAAAAAAGAGGAAAGAAAATTAGGAGAAGGAAAGAAAAGAGGAAAGGGAAAAGATCCTGGAAAACTTACCTCCTCTGTGTTTGGAGATCTAATGTTGTGTAAGAACTGTAAGATTTTATGTCCCCAACACCTCCTTTTCCTGGTAGAGGCTTTAAAGAACATAGAACAGCTTCTGAAAAGCTTCCAACACTTCCTTAGGAGGTGCCTTTTTAAATCCCACCTAATTTAATTCCTTGCTTTCTTATATCACCAAGCATATCCTGGCTTTTCCTGCCTGTTTTAGAGCTGCTTGGAGGTAGTGTGAGCACTGAAGGGTGCACAGACAACCCAGCAAGCAGAGAGAAAAAATACTGTTTAAGTAACTTTCCTCAAACCTCTCCAAGGAAATCTCCCTCCTCCAGGGCTTAATTCCCTGTTTACGCAGACCTCCTCCACCGTCTCCAAGGAAATCTCCCAGCTCAAGGGCTCTTGGGGCTGGAGGAGGGAGGTGTGGATGCTCAGAGAATGCTCAGAGGAGAAATTAATCCCGTCCTGTCAGGTGAAGTTTAGAATGTATTTGAGGAAAAATTTCTTCACTCACAGGGTGGTCCAGCCCTGGCACATTTTACTGAAAGCAGTGCTGGAATCACCATGAATCTGGAGGGATTTAAAACATGTGGAAGTGGTACCTGGGGACATGTTAGTGGTGGTACTGCTGGGGAATGGTTGGACTCAGTGACCTTGGAGGGCTTCTCCAACCTTAACAACTCCATGATTCATGGAAATAACAGCCAATGGATTAGCTGAATATTAAATTGGGCAAGCATATGATGTGACCTGGTCGAGTTAGCATTCTCCAACTCTGCCATTAATCCATGTTGTGTGCATTTCCCAAGTGTAAAAGCCTCTTGGATCCACAGCTTGGGATTTATAGCACTGCGAGTAATAATAAAATTGTGAGGATTTTTAAATCATTGTGTATCCCAAAAAAAACTCCACAAGCCCTCATGAAAAAAAAAAAAAAAATAATCTGGGAGGATTCTAGTATTAAGTAGAAGAGAGACAGAAGGTGTCTTGGGTCACTTCTTGATGACCCTCCAAGTCCCTTTTTCTATAAAATTTCATCACTGGTAACCCAGGAATAAGGCCTTTTGCAAGAACTTGCATGTTTCAGCAAAGGTCAGTGAAGTTAAGAATAAGTAAAAAAAAATCCTTATTTTACAATCTGGGAAACTGAGGGAGGGGAGGAAGTCAGCTCTTGTACATCTGTGGAAGTCAGCTGAGTTCAGCCTTTGCCACTCCAGGCTTTCCTCCAGAAGGAAATTTATCTATTCACCTAATCAGTTAGGGGAAATGGTTTTAAATGACAGAAGGTGGGTTTAGATGGGTTATTAGTAATGAATTCTTTCCTCTGAGGGTGGTGATGCCCTGACACAGGTTGCTCAGAGGAGATGTGGCTGCCCCATCCCTGGAAGTGTTCCAGGACAGGTTGGAGCAACCTGGGATAGTGGAAGGTGTCCCTGCCCATGGCTGGGGGTGGAACTGGATGAGCTTTAAAGTGCCTTCCAACCCAAACCATTCCAGAGCTCAATGAATTTGTGTATTACTTCAAACCAAAACTGCTCTGAAGTGTACTATTTATTTTCAATTTGTGATTTAGGTGCATCAATAAATAGTTTCATCCACTGCCCATCTCTGTTTTTCTGACATTTACTGAAATTCGGGATGGCCCAATAACAACAAAGGCATTTTGAATGCCTCCCAACATGGAATGCCAGCAATCCATGCAGAGAAAATAGAAACCCTCAAATTAAAGAGGAGATTTAATAGTGCTCTGAAATAAAAAGAGTGTTTTATTTTAAATATAATTTTACCCAATATCCTGGAGTCCTGGCCAGGTTAATGAGGGTTGACAGTAACCACTATAGGAAGTAGCATTTGGTAAGAAAGTAAAACCAGTCTTACAGTCTTTGAGAAAGGAAGAGGAAGAACAGATGACAAAAGAAGCTGAAGATGTACAAATGTGTTTCTGACCTGCTGAGCAAATTTGGACTTACCCCAAATCTGTCCATTCCTGTGCCCACTGACATACATGGCAGCGATTTGGGTGGTGTCACATTCCTGTCCCTTTACTTCCCTGGCCCAAGGGACTAAGAAGAGAGGCTGGTACTTCCCCAGAATAGTTTCCTGTAAGGATGTCAGGAAAGGAGAAAGGCATTTTCTCTGTTTCTGTGCCCTTTGGCAGGTGGATCTGGATGGCTCCTGGACATTGAGTGCATGGACAGGACTGGGATGTTGTGGGTAGGTGCTGGTGGGTTCTGTCTGTTCAGGAGACACAAGGTGAGGAAGAGCCTGAAGCTCTGTTCAGGGGGAAGTTGTGAAATTGGAAGTGAAAGGCATGGGGCTGGAGGGATTTTGTGAAATCGGAAGTGTCTGAAGTGTTGAAGGACTGTGCTGAAAGGCTGTGGCGTATGAAGGTGCCCTGACAGAGCTCCTGACCCCAGAGCTCCATGTTGAGGGCAGCACAAGCAGGGTTTGGGTATCTGAAATTGCTGAGGTGGGAAGTGTGGGTGCAAGGTTGCATGAAGCAGTAGTGAGTCCGTAAGTTGCTGAACTGTGCTGGGAGAGGCTGTGGGTCAAAAGAGGACCCACTGTGGTGAGAGATATGTGACAGCTCCAGCAAAGATATTGTGGGAGAGGACTTAAAATTTCTCTACCTGAGCAGCACTAAAACTTCATCTTCAGGGGCTGTGAAACCAGAGCATCTCAGGGCCTTGAATAGGACACAACACCAGTGCAACATTTGTATGGACAGCTCTTGCAAGAACAGCTGAGGAAGGGAGAAGTTGTAAAAAAATAATGTTTCCATGACACTGCAAAGAGGGGAGGGGGAAGTGGTTCAAGTCTGAGTGGTCATACCCACAGAGAGAAGGTATTTCCCCCATGAGTGATTGGCTGCCTGGAGGGTCACGCTGAAAACATCGTGGCTTTTTAAACAGTGGCTGCCCAGCCCAGCACTGCAGGATGACACAAGGACTTGAGCTGCACCCTATGTCACACAATCCAGAGGACAACATTGCTGGGCACAGGCACTGAAAGTCCAAAAAAAAGGTGAGAAATTCTGAGATGTGTCTTTGCCATTACACTCTGACAGTTTTTGTCAGTCTTTGGGGAAGGGAGGAGAAACAAAAACAGTGGAGGAAAAGAGATCAAATATTTACTTCCCTTGCTGGACAGAAATTTGCTGTAGGTCAGGAATTGATGATAATCATTTTCAATATGAAGAAAGCTTCATTCCAGGGATTCTTTTCACTGTACAAGTGCTCTTGAATTGCTCTAAATGCACCTCTGTAATATAAAAAGTCATTACTCAGAGACCTGGTATTACAACAGCATAACCTTCTGTCCATAGTCTGAGACATCTTTGTGGGGTCAGAGTTGTTCTGCCTCAGGAACTACAGGAAGGATTTGCAGGCAGACCACAGGGAGGATGTTTAATCTCAAGGGAGAAACAGACCACCTGGACTCAGGCTGATGCCATTTGAGGAAAGCTTTCACTTATTAGTTACATAAGGAAGTAGAATCATGTCTTGAATGTGTCTTGGAGACAGGAATTCAGTCTTTCCAAGGGAATATGAAAAATAAATGAGAATAATGGGTGACTTTTGCAGTGTTCTTCTCCATGATCTAAAGAAGTAAGAGAATGATTTTGCCACTCCTATTACAGCAGAAGGCAAAACTATTGATGTTTTGTCATTTACCTGTTGCAGCCGTTTCTGTTCCTGGCAGTCTTTATGCACCTACAGCAACTTCTGGTGTGTAAAGGTGCTCCAAGGCAGCTTGAGAGGGACTTTGGAGAAGGGCCTGGAGTGACAGGACAAGGGGAAATTGTTTTAAACTAGAAGATGGTGGATTTGAATTAGATCTTGGGAGGAAGTTCTTCCCTGTGAAGGTGGTGAGGCACAGGTTGCTCAGAGGAGCTGTGGCTGCCTTATCCATGCAAGTGTCCAAAGCCAGGTTGGCAGGGATTTGGAGCAACCTGTAGAAGGTTGGTCTGTAGAAGGTGTCCCTGGCTGTGGCAGGAGGTTGGAACAAGATGAGCTTTAAGATCCCTCCCAGCCCAAACCATTCCATGATTCTATGACATGATCAATGGCAAAAAGCCATTTAACATTGGAAAATAATTACCTGTCATTCCCTGAATCCCCAGTGGAGAGAGATGCACTTGTGCAGGCTGCAGTGGGCTAAGACAGAGCTTAGGTGACACTCAGATGTTCACACCTCTTCAGATCGAGTACAAATTTGGTTGCACAGAAGCCAGGAAACCACTTAACCACCGAGCCTTCCTCTGTTCTCTCAGCAGAAAAGCTGCACAGAACTTGAGGCTGTTTCTGATAATTTCTGAAAAAATGTGATCATTTGTGGCCTCCCCTGGAGCAAGTTGTGAGGGAGGAACAGCCACAGGGCTGCTCTCCAGTCTTCATATTAGAAGTGCTTCTGGTGCTGTAAGAGCTGAGGATGGGATCATCCAGCTCTGCAGTGCCAGAAATTCCCTGGTTTCAATCAACCCTACAGAAAATCATAGAATCCTCAAATAATTTGGGTTAAAAGGACCTTAAAGCCCCTTCAGTCTCACCCCTTCTATGGGCAGGGACATCTTCCAGTAGCCCAAGTTGCTCCAAGCCCCATCCAACCTGGCCTTGAAATTCCCTGCACCACACTTATTTTCCCTCTGTCCATGGGGTCAGTGTGCCTGGGGTGCTGGGATGGAACAGCAGTGATTCAGTCTGTCATGTTCTGGGTGCTTTTAGAAGTCTGTCTCCATGTGTGCTGCTGCACCAGCAAGAGAGAACAGAGGATTCATGCTGTCTACATGGTTCAGTGATTCACATCTTCCCAGAAAACCCCATTTTTTTTGTTCCTCTCCTCTTTTTAACTTCTCTTCCTTCCATGTCCAAATTAATAGCTGTTTGGGAGACAGCAGAAGAACCACTGTATTTGTTCTTGTCAGACCAAAACAAAGGTGTTAAATATTTTTTTTCCCCCCCAAGATTCTCAGTCAGATCTCAGTACCACAGAGAAGGAAACAGTGACCTAACTCATGGAATGGTGTTGAAAAATTATCAGGCCACAACTCCCATGTCTTGTGAGGACGAGATAATCCGTGGTTTCTTACATGTGGTTCTTGTAGTTTCTGGGGGAGAAGCTGAGGGCTCTGCCAGACCAAAATGTTTATTTGTTACTGTTACTGAGACCCAGGAAAACCACATCAAATGACACTTTATTAAAACACAAATCACTCATCAATATAAAAAACTGTCTGTTGTTCTCATGGAATCACAGAATTCCAGAGTGGTTCGGGCTGGAAGGGACCTTAAAGATCATCCAGTTCCAAACCCCTGCAATGGGCAGGGACACTTTCCACTATCCCAGTTTGCTCTAGCCTGGCTTTGGACACCTCCAGGAATGGAGCAGCCACAGTTTCTCTGGGCAAGCCATGCCAGAACCTCACCACCCTCCCAGGGAAGAATTTATTCCCAATATCACATCTAAACCCAAACTCTGTCAGTGTGAAGCCTTTACCCTTTGTCCTGTTACTCTAGGCTCCTGGTCCTTTCCAAAACAAATCATTTTGAGATTCCATGAAATTAAGTTCTAGCTACAAAGCCTTGGCACAAACCAAGCAATCCTCTAGAAAAGTCACCCGGAGTTACCACCTCTCCCCTCTCTGCTCCCAGGACTGAATCACCCATTATGGGACCCTCAACCACACCAATCCTCCTTCCAACCACAGCCATCCAGGCTCCCAGGACCAACCAGAGTGGGGCTGTGGGACAACCAGAGGCATCCTACACTGTCCTCAAGTTCATGGAGAGCTTCTGCCTGCTGAGTGCTGCCTGTGGGATGGTGGGGAATGGCCTGGTGCTGTGGTACCTGGGCTTCCGCATTCGCAGGAACCACTTCACTGTCTACATCCTGAACTTGGCGGCCGCCGACTTTGGGTACCTGCTGTGCATCGCTGTGGAGACCGTGCAGTACCTGATGCAGTTCAACGTGGGGGTGCAGTTCGGGATATTCCTCTTCCTGGATCTCTTCATGTACGGCACAGGCCTGTACCTGCTGACTGCCATCAGTATTGAGCGCTGCCTGTCTGTGCTGTCCCCCATCTGGTGCCGGATGCACCGCCCAAAGCACCTGTCTGCCGTGGTGTCCGGCCTGCTCTGGGCCCTGTCCCTGCTCCTGAACACTCTGGGATATGTTTTGTGCACTGTTCGCCCCTCTCCCAGGGTTTGCCAGCGCCTGCTCATCGCCATCGGAGCCTTGGATTTCCTCGTCTGCACGCCCCTCATGCTGCTCTTCAGCCTCACCCTCTTCCTGCATGTCAAGTGCAGCTCCCAGCCCTTCCAAACAGGCCGGCTCTTCACTGTCATCATGCTCACCATCCTCCTCTTTGTCATTTTCGCCGTGCCCCTCAGTGTCCTCATCCTGCTGGACTTCCTGGGACACAAGTTCCTGTATTCCCCGGAGATTGGCTTTGTGCTGTCCTGCGTCAACAGCACCCTCAACCCCGTCATTTACTTCCTGGTGGGAAGCTACAGGGATCGGAAATTCAGGCTCACCCTCAGACTGGCATTCCAGAGGGCCTTCCAAGACTCAGCAGATGACAGAGATGAGAGGGAAACTCGGGACACAATAACCATGTCCTCCTAAAATCCTGCCTGGAATGTCTTAGCAGAACTGAAGAACTCTGAGTTACTGGGGAAGGTTCATGTCACTTGACCCTCAGCACTCTCTTTGTACATTATTTTAAGTCCCCATCTGTGGCACATAAGCACCTGGACCACAGAACTTACCTGACCTGCATTTAGGATGCATTAAAAGTTCCTGTTTCTTTCCAGTGACTATTAAATAATATTAACTTGATAAGGTTGAAATGTCTTGGTGTCTGAATTTCAGCAATGAATTCCTTCTCAGGATAAATCCTTGTCATTCATAAACTCATAAATTCTCAGTGTTGCTTTTCACTCAGATCTCAGAAAATGAGATCAGTACCAACAATCCTTCTGTTGGAAGCAGACATAAAGTTCCTGGAAAAAGAATCCATCTATCCTTAGTTTAGAATTCCCACGTCTGAGCACGCACACAGCCTTTTGTGGCTCACAGAGGGCTTCCTAATGTGAGCATTTGAAGGACTGAAAAGATTCACATCCACCAAGTCCATTTCTTCTCTGAACCAGGGATGTTTCCACACCACAGAGAAGAAAAGGGCTCCAACTCCTTCCAATTTGCTTAAAAAATTTAGTCACTGAGTTTCATCCTCCATTGTCTTGTATTTCAAAGAAATACATGACTGGAGATTATTATTTTATATTATATTATTGCATGTTATTTTAATTTCTTCCAGCCCTTGGCAGAGTCTCTGCATTTATCTACATCATGTATTGGATGGTTATTTCTTCCTTTAAAAGAACAGATCAGAATCCATGGTTTAAAATCTTCTTTACCAATAAATAAAAATCAAAAGCTAGTGGGAAAAAATACAGGAGACAGAACAAGGTAAATAAATACCATGATTTGCAACAAATTATTCTCTAAAGCAAATCCTTTGAAGGAAAAAATGGGATTATTTGTGCTCTCAGACTGCCTAACATTTATTCTTTTAATCAAAATCATTAGAAGAAGTCAAAGTGGGTACTTTTCTTTGAAAAACCTCACAAATTCATGTTCAAAATGTTATCTTTTTGATAACCCAAATGATTTTTTCATTAGGACAAAAAAAAAAAAAAAAGTATTGTTAAAAAGACCAGAAGTTTCTGTTTTGTTTTTTTGTTGTTCTGTTTGGTTTTTTTCCCCCAATGGAATAAAAATTGTATTTAAAGTTGCTGTTGTTGTTATCTGATTTATCAGCTGATAAAAACACACAGACTATAAACTCAGATAAGTAATTTTTTTTTTACTTTAAAAAAAAGGCACAGGACGAACTTCCCAGTCAGTGTCTACTGAAAAAGGACAGAAAAGCCAAGTTTATTTTATAAATGCTAATTCCAGGTGTTTTTTGGTATAACACTGCTGTGCTTAGGTGAATAACATTTCCTCCAAGGATTCCAGGGGGAGCAGGACCAGCCCCTGTGTGACTGACCCAACTATTTTGGGGATTTAGCACACTAGGCATATCCTTCTTCATCTCTCTTGTCCAAACAAATCCCTTGTCATTCTCTATTTTTTACTTTCTCCTTATTTTCTTGATTTCTTTCATTCTTTCTTTCTTTCTTTCTTTCTCTGTTTCTCTTCCATTCATTCACTTGTTTAGAGTTCTTTTTTCTTTCTTGTATTTTTCTTTATTTTTTCTTCCTTTACTTTTTCTTTCTTATTTTTTTTCTCTCTCTCCCCCCCACCCTTTCTCCTTTTTTCCCTTTCCCTCTTTCTTTGTCTCTCACTTTCACTCTCTTTTTTTCCACTCTCTTTTCCCCAAATTGTAATTTTCACCCATCTCTTACCCGCCCCACACCAAATCCCACCATCACCAACCCAGCACCCCTTGCTCTGTCCATTTTTGCAATCTTTGCTTCATCAACAGAGTTTATTCCCTATGGATGGGACAATGAGGGTTGTTCCATGGGGAGTACAGGAACAGGATGGAGCTCAGAGCCATGTGCTCCCGTACTTCTGGCTGTCTCTGAGGTGCCACATCTCCGGGTGCCACATGTCCAGAAGTGCCTCACAGAGCTGTCACCTCCACCACAGTGTCCCCAGGGCCGTGGCTCCCCTCGTCACTCCTGCCTTTCTCCTCAAACACCCTCCGCAGAGCGACTCTGACGGAGTGCTGGAAGCGGCGCCGCTGGCAGCTCCCCACCAGCACATAAATCACTGGGTTGAGAGTGCAGTTCAGCAATGCCAGCAGCAAGGAAGTGTTTTCTGGGAATAAATCACCAGAATCAGGGAGATTGAGGAAAACCTCCACGCAGAAAGGGATGCCAAAGGTGAAGAACAACACGATGTTGAGCAGGATGGCCACAAAGAGCTTCCCTGGCTGCCGCCTCCGGGAGCCACAGCGCAGCTTGAGAAACAGGAACAGGTTGGAAACCAACATCATGAGAGAAAAAACTGTGGAAATGGCCAGGGCTACACCTGCAAGGACGGTCTCAGAGTCTTCAGTATAGGTGTAGGTGACGTAGAGGGAGGAAACAAAAAGTCCTGCGAGGGTCCAGAGGGCTCCGCTGACAACGCCCGAGAGGTGCCGGGGACGGTGGCAGCGGTACCAGATGGGGCAGAGGACGGAGATGCAGCGCTCCACGCTGAGGGCTGCCAGCAGCCCCAGGCTGCTCAGGTCAAACAGGTGGCACGGGAACCCAAGGACAAACACAAGATGCCTATAGTGATGAATAAAAGGAAACAAAGACGTGCAAAATGCTGCTAAGGCCAGAAAAGCCAAAATCAGCAGGAGAAACAGGAGGAGCAGGGAGAAGTCAGCAACAGCCAGATTTAGGATGTAGACAGTGAAAGGGCTCTGCTTTATGTGGAAACCCACGAACCACAAGACCACTCCATTCCCCGCCAGCCCACAGAGGGAAATCCCCAAGCAAACCCCTGCAAAGGCAATCAGGCCGTAGGGAATGCTCGAGCATTCAGATGTGACAAATTCCTCCCAGTCCAGAGATCCATTAAGTGTATTGTTCATGGTGAGGTTTGTTGTGCTGTTCTCTTCCATGGTGAATGATCCTGCTCCCGGTGGCTGCCTTCCCCCTTTCCCACCACCTCCTAGGGAGAGATGGGGAACCAGAGGGAAATAAGGGACATCAGCATTCCCAGCACTTCCCATCTGGCCACACAGCCCCACACCAGCCCCAGGGAGAACCTGTACCCCTGCAGTGCCCAGGACAGGCTCCCACCTCTCCAGCCCTGACCCTGGACAGGAGGCATCTCCCACAAGTCCATCCTTGGACTCCTACCTCCAGCAGGAGCAGTGCTGCCACAGCAGCACCAGGAGAAAGGATTTGGGGATGCTGCTGGAACCACTGGCTGTGCTTCTGCCTCATCCCTCCTGCCTGGGTGCAGCCCTTGGCCCAGAGATCACATCCCATGGTCAGAGCCTCCTCTCACAATCTCCCCACATCACTGACAGCTTCCCATCACATGTCTTGGACAGAGATCTTGTCAGGAGGAGGTGGCCACATCACCTCCTTCCTCAGCCACTCTCCAGTGTCATCCCACCATGCAGGGGGCTTCTGGCTTTCACTGTGTGTGCCAGGTGGCCCACCCATCAATGCAGAAGGTGACATAAATCATTCCCAGGGATGGAGGATGGCAGAAGGGTGAGAAAGATGAGCCATGCCACTGCCTTCCTCTCCTCCCCCCAGTCCTTCATGAGGAGATGCTGATCTGTTATGATCCCACTAATGCAGGCGCTCAGGCTTTAGAATATTAAACATCATTTAATGGATCTAAAACAAAGAAAATGAGAGGACAGCACAGATAATATTATGTCCCTTCAGGTGCTGGGAATCCTGGGTCAAAACTCTCCTCTGGTGAGGGCAAATCCTGTCCGTGGAAGGGGTACTCCACTGTGATCCATTCAGCTTTTACAGGGTTTTCTGAATCCCTGAGAAATTCCAGACCTCATTAGATTCCAACAGAGCCACTGAGCAGCAGCCATGGGGATGAGCCCTGTCCTTGTGTCCACTTGCTGTGGGAAATCACCAGTGCCCATGGGACACATGGGACTGCACGAGGGCTTTGCCCACAGCCTCTAATCCCAGCCTGCCTAATCACAATCATCAGCCTAATCACCCCTGCTGGGCATGTGTCTCCTCAGAGATTAGGTTTGTGGGGTACATGGTGCTGCCAAAGCGCTCTTATCTCCAAGGGGTTCCTGCCACACAACCTCAGCCTTTCACAGCACAGGGACTGGCATTCTGCTGCTTATTTTCTGCCCCTCTTTTATGTGTTTTCCATCTCCTTTGGAGTTGTATTCTGTGCTTGTCATCCCCAGGACTGATAGATATGTTAATGCACAAGGTCCATGTGCTCTCCAGAGTGTCCAGACTGGAGCTTCAGGATTGGGAGCTAGAGGAAGGCTTGAAATAAGGAGAGAATTTAGGCTCAGCATCCATCCATGAGAGGAAGATGGAGAAAGGTGCAACTCCTGGAAGTTTCTCCCAGAAGGAAGTTGGAAGAAATCTTTGTATAATCTACAAGGTACACGTCACTAGAGGCACTGAACAACTTGTGCTGTTGCATGTCTACACGTCAGTGATTTCTCACTTCTGAAGGTCTCTGGCTTATCTCTCTCACCCTTCTGCCATCCCTTTGTGGGCTGGCGGGGAATGGAGTGATCATGTGGTTCATGGGCTTCCACATAAAGTGGAGCCCTCTGGACCCTCGCAGGGCTTTTTGTTTCCTCCCTCTACGTCACCTACACCTATACTGAAGACTCTGAGACCGTCCTTGCAGGTGTAGCCCTGGCCATTTCCACAGTTTTTTCTCTCATGATGTTGGTTTCCAACCTGTTCCTGTTTCTCAAGCTGCGCTGTGGCTCCCGGAGGCGGCAGCCAGGGAAGCTCTTTGTGGCCATCCTGCTCAACATCGTGTTGTTCTTCACCTTTGGCATCCCTTTCTGCGTGGAGGTTTTCCTCAATCTCCCTGATTCTGGTGATTTATTCCCAGAAAACACTTCCTTGCTGCTGGCATTGCTGAACTGCACTCTCAACCCAGTGATTTATGTGCTGGTGGGGAGCTGCCAGCGGCGCCGCTTCCAGCGCTCCGTCAGAGTCGCTCTGTGGAGGGTGTTTGAGGAGAAAGGCAGGAGTGACGAGGGGAGCCACGGCCCTGGGGACACTGTGGTGGAGGTGACAGCTCTGTGAGGCACTTCTGGACATGTGGCACCCGGAGATGTGGCACCTCAGAGACAGCCAGAAGTACGGGAGCACATGGCTCTGAGCCTCGTCCTGTTCCTGTACTCCCCATGGAACAATCCTCATTGCCTTGGCCCCAGGGTATAAACTCTGATGTACTGATCTTTTTCATCTTCTTACTACCCCATAAATCATATTTGGATTTATTTCTTTTGTTTCTTTTCAGCATGGTAACTCCAGCCCCGGATTTTGTTGAACATCTGGGCTTTGCTGCAGAGTTTATCCCTGGGAAACAGTGTCAAAAAATGTCTCATTTCCTTACTTTTTCCCATTCTAAAGCCTCTGGCTTGTCCATGAGGAGGGCAGGTACCTGTCTCATACCAGAGCTCTTCCTAAGGCTAGTGCCTGCAAGGGTTGGAATGAGCCATGTGTTAACAGTTCCAAGAACTCCTTATTCCTTCTGGAAAAAGCAGTTTGTGTCAGGCTCCTCTTAGCAACCCTGATGCTGAAATCTTGTCTTTGAATGGGCCAAATCACCCCCTCTCATTCCATAGGTGGTATGAGAGGGCCCTGCAGGACAAAACTTATGATTTCTGTTTCAAATCTAATTTTGCCACTTGGATACCACAATTTCAGTGGTACTGGATCTTCACCATGCAGTTTCCAAGAAAATTAATGGAATAATAAATTCTGTGTGTGAGCTGGAGCACATGCACACAGCAGAGGGATGATTTAGGATTTCAGCAATGTCATTTCTTTTGAGAAGAGTCAAATCAATACTGCTCTGAGTTTCATCTGAGTCATCTTCTACACTCCCTTGGGAGTCAGGCAGCAGCCTACAATTAATTCAAGGAATTCCTAGATAGCTGAGGTGAGATAATTCCTACCCAGGCTGACATGCCTCAGGGATCTGGGAGGCTCCTGCTGGAAACTGGTGCATGTGGTGGCCCTGGGACCAGAACTGTCACCTCTCTTTCTTGCTGACACCGTGTTTGTGTCCCCAGCTACGGAATCTCATATCCCCTCACCAAGCCAATCCTTTCAAATGCAAACACCTCATGATCCATGACCTAATGGGGCTTCTAGAAAGTTAGAGAGGGACTTTGAACAAAGGCATGGAGTGACAGGATAAGGGGGGATGGCTTCCCACTAAGAGAGGGTGGGTTCAGATTAGATATTAGAGAGAAATCCTCCCCTGTGAGGTTTGGGTGGCACTGGCACAGGTTGCCCAGAGGGGTGGGGTCAGATAAAAACAACCACAAGTGCTCCCAAGTCTGAGGAGGAGAAGGATAAATTCTAATGAAGGGCTGGAAAGAGGATCACAGCACCCCAAAATCCGGTCTCTAATACCTTTCATTGCATCATCAAGGGTATTGGCAGTAATTAGGGTGGGCTCTAAGTGCTGATAACCTGGCTACAAGCAACTGATTGCAGTCCTTCCCTTGGGCTGTGTGAGCCTGTATTGGAGTGATAGAAATGGGAGCCCATGGCCCAGGGGTGCTCCCATGAGCCCAGGGCAGGTTTGGGCAATGATGCCAGAACTCTTTCCAGAATGAGAGTTGTTTGTCAGAAGCACCAGCACTGCCAGAATTCCAGTGCCACCAGCATCCCTCTGCTGCTGGAGGGACAATGACCTCTCAGGGCAGAGAAACGAGGAATGGTAGAAATCTGTCAGGAGAGGGAAGGAAGTTGAAAAATGGGACACTGTCCTGGGAAGGAGTGTTTCTAATTAGGGGGGAATGAGGAGCCATTCACAAATGTTACAAACATGTGGTGTGGTGATCGGCTCTCGCAAATATTGAATGAATATTATGTGTGTTATAACATTGAAAGAAGCTCTGTTAAGACGCGGAGTTTTTCCAGTAGGAGTACTGTGTTCATTCTGCCAGCTGTATCGGTCCATGGAGGGGGGCGGAAGCCGGAGGGACTGCACAAGCTCCGGGAAGGAGGGACGAGGGAGGAGCTGTGTGCGAAAAGTGGAATATGTATGAATGTGGGGGTGGGCTCGCTAAGGCTCTGTAAGGCCAGTTATTGCCGGGGGCGGTGAGCCTCTGGCCGTGGCTGAGCTGTTCATTTTACCTTAGTTCGTCTCTTGTTGTAGTTTATTAAACTTTTTAAAAATTTAAGAAGTGAGGCGTCGTTTCTCACGACAAAGAATTCGACCACTTGATTTGTAGGGGGGGCGTGGAGAAAGTCAAGATGAATAACCCCGAGGCTGTGGAACTCTGACGGAGCCAAAGTTGTAAAATCACTTCCGACTGCCTGTGACCCTAGGGAGCCTTGGGAATTAACAGCGGGACAGGAATGGGGAGCTCCTGGTGACCCAGGCACTTTCTCCTTCATGTTACTGACCTGGGAGGAGCCGCTTTAGGATATGGATCCCAAAGGAGCACGAAGTACCAGGAAGTGCTGCTGATCTGGACAGACCCCCTTTGCCTGCTGCTGCCCCACAGTGAACAGGTCAGTGGAATGTTTTCCTTTCTCCCAATGCCACCTTCCTCTCCTCCAGCAGCTGCTCTGTTCCTGCCACCCTATCCCGGTGACCGCAGGGCCCTCCCCAGCTCCTCCCTCCACTGCCCTGTGTATTTTGACATTGAAATCGACTGAAATAAATTCTTAACACAATGTGAAGCATTAGGAATCAGGAATTCTTTACCTCCACTGGACACACAGAAGGATCTCTCCTTGTTCTGAGTGTGGTGAGACTTTACAACCATAGCCACATATAATCATTAAAGTGTGTTTCTTATCTAACACATAAACATCACTTTCTTAGAATTAACTTCCATGTATCCTCCTTCTTCTCCAAGTCCTTTCATGGTCCTGGAGGATCTTTAAGAGGGGTCTCTGGTTGTCCTGTTCCCTGAATGTTGTGATATTAAAGGTGACCTTGCCTTGAACTTTTCCTTTGGCCATGCGCTGTTGCTTCTTGATAGAGAACTCGTCCCAAAACCACTGCAGGCCTCCTAATCTGCTTCTCCCCTGGCTCCAGCCACGTTTATCATCCTGTGTTCTCCTGCAGAGCACAGGGGAGCTGGCCTTTCCTCCTTCCTCCTGGGTCCTAGAACTGTACAGCCAGGAGGAGCAGACACTGCCAGGGGTCCTGGGTGAAGCTGGGCAGGACTGAGGCTGTCAGGGGGCAAAAACCAGCCCTGGGTGGGTTCTGGGGTGTCAGAGCAGGCAGGGGGTGTCAGGAGAGAGTCAGAGGGGGTTGGAGGAGGTCTGCTGGAAAACCCAGAGGAGAGCAGAGACTGACAGGCCACACTCAAGAGTGGCGGAGTGGCTGCCATATGGGAAATCTGTGGGATAGGGATAGGGATAGGGATAGGGATAGGGATAGGGATAGGGATAGGGATAGGGATAGGGATAGGGATAGGGATAGGGATAGGGATAGGGATAGGGATAGGGATAGGGATAGGGATAGGGAGCAGCTCAACTGTGCTTCCTTGGGCCCAGAGCAGGCTTTGGCAATGATCCCAGAGCTCATCCAGGAATAGGAGCTAATTCTGAGAAGCACCCAGCTGACTCATCAGCACTGCCAGCACTGCCAGCATTCCAGTGCCACCAGCAAACCTCTGCTGCTGGAGGGGCCATGACCCCTCAGGAAAGAGAAAGGAGGAATGGCAGAAAGCTATTGGGAGAGAGAAGGGAGTCAGAGAATGGGACATTCTGTAGGGAAAGAGTGTTTCTAATCAGATGGAAATGAGGATCCATTTGCAAAATTCTTCATCTGGACCTTTTGACAAAAGCCAATTCCTCTGGCAAAGAAAAAAAAAAAAATCAAGATGAATACTGAGGGAATGGAGTTCTGACATAGCCAAAGTTGTAAAACCATTTCCGCCTGCCCTGTGACCCCACCAAGCCTTGGGGAGCAACATGAGGACAGGGCATGGAAAGGAGCCAGAGGGACAGGAGTTGGGAGCTCCTGGTGATCCGGGCACTTTCTCCTTCATGTTACTGACCTGGGAGGGATCCACTTTAGGATACAGATCCCAAAGGAGCAAGAAGTACCAGGAAGTGCCGCTGATCTGGACAGACCCCCTTTGCCTGCTGCTGCCCCACAGTGAACAGGTCAGTGGAATGTTTTCCTTCATCCACCTTCCTCTCCTCCAGCAGCTTCTCTGTTCCTGCCACTCTCTCCCAGTGACCACAGTGCCCTCCCCAGCCCCTCCCTCCACTGCCCAGCATTTCCCCTCTGCATCTCGTGCTGGACATCCCAATTCTCCCATTTCCCTCTCCCACCCCATAATTTCTACCACCCACCTCCCCTGCACTTCTCTCCACTGAATCCTTCCCACTGCAGGGAGCCAGTGAGGAGCTGCATTGTCCATCCCTGGATTCTCCATGCACTGACTTCCCATCCACTCTCATCACAGCTGGGGGCCACATCCCACCACCTGCCCAGTGTCCATCCATGGAGGTAAGCACCGTGTCCGTACCTCCTGCCTCAGCCATGGAAGGAGGTGATCTGTGTGAAATCAGTGTCATCAACATGGTCATACACAATGTGGCACTGTTCATCTGCCTCTGTGGGCTGGTTGGGAACATGCTTGTCTTCTGGATATTCAGCGTCAGAAGTTGCACCGAATTGCTGGCTGATCTGACTACCACTGACTCCCTCTTCCTCTTCTTTGCGGTCCCCTACACCCTGCTCTGCCTGGTGAATGACGTGTTCTGCTCCACTTTGGTGCCCCTGAGGTACTTGAACTTGCTTTTCCAGCTGTCACTGTTTGTCTACCACACAGAGCTGTTATGGCTGATGATCACCAACATCAAGAGGTACTGGCCCATCAGCTTCATATTCTGGCGCCACGTCTACCAATACTTGAGCGAGTTGTGCATGATGATAAGACCCCTGCACTGGGCCTTTTTCTATGCTGTCATTGATGTCATTCTAATAGCATATTTCCCACGCCTTTCCCAAGTGAAATGCCAGCTGGTTCACATGTCCTTGGACATCCTCAACCACCTCCTCTTTGCTGCACCCTGGGTCATTTCCACTGCAATCCTCTACGTTATGGTCGTTTTTTATCCCCCACAGGAGAAACCCTCTAGTCTAGAACGCATTATCTTCTTCTCTGCACTCTACTCCTTCCCCATCAGCCTCTCCAATTTCATGGGGCACCTTGGCTACACTGTGGTGTCCTCTCAGGTGGTTTTCTTGTTCACCTGCATCCAGACCAGCATCAAACCCTTCATCTACTTCTGGGTGTGGTGGGTTGAGTACATAAGAGTATGATGCCGCTCCATGTCCCTCTGGCTCTTCTTCCAGAGGGTTTTTGAGAAGCTGAAAGTCAACATTGCCAGCAGCAATGATGCCACCATGGACACAGCTGTCCCAGACTGTTGATCCCCTCCACTACACTGATGAAGGACCAGGACAGTTGCTGAGGATTTCCTTGAGCTACTGGATTAATAAATATCCACGGGATCACCCTCCCCTGCTGTATTATTGCAAGAGAGGGGAGCAGGGCATGTGGGACAGATGTCCTGCCTGGAGCACACTGGAGTATGGCTTTCCTCCTCCCTCACAGATCCTAGAACACTAGTCTGCCAGAGTGATCCAGACAGCTGTGATGCCAAAATTCCCCCTGGCACCTGGTTCCTGCATCCCACTGTGGTCCGATATCAATAAACAGCTTGTTAACGCTGAGCTGCCTTCGCCCCCTCTGCCGAGAGTGTCACAGCAGAGATGTTCCTGGTCCTGGGTGGCACGGGGCAGGAGAGGGGCTGGAAGGGGGAAGGTGGCTCTGGGGTGTCGGATGGGTCAGGAAGGGTCTGGATGCTGCTGATCCCAAATGTCACACCTGGAGGGCAGCAGAGCACAACGGGCAGCGCTTCAAGCCGGGGAGCAGCCACGGGACGGGACGGGACGGGACGGGACGGGACGNCCTTCGGCATGTCCACATGGGACGGGACGGGACGGGACGGGACGGGATGGGATGGGATGGGATGGGATGGGATGGGATGGGATGGGATGGGATGGGATGGGATGGGGAGTGATACCAAATTCAGACAGAATAAATTAATCTGAAATATTAGGCAGCAGGACACACAGAAAGATCTCTTCTTGTTTCTGTTTGTGGGGAGACTTTACTGCAGGGGTTTTAGTCATTATAACCACACATAATCATTCAAAAGTCTTTCTTACCTAGTACATAAACACCATTTCCTTAGAACTGATTTCCATGCATTCACTTCCTACTGGAAGTCCTTTGATGCTCCTGGAGTTTCTTTAAGAGTGATCTCTGGTGGTTGCATTCACTGAATGCTGCAATATTAAAGCTGACCTTGCCTTGAACTTTTCCTTTGGCCATGCGCTGTTGCTTCTTGTCACAGAACTTGTCCCAAAACCACTGCAGGCCTCCTTATCTGCTTCTCCCCTGGCTCCAGCTACGTTTATCATCCTATGTCAACAGCTTTGCATTCTTTTACCTTTTTGGTCACTTAGGCTATGAACAGCTCCAGGAGAGCTAAAAATGTTTATTTTCAATGTTACTGATCAATGTCCTGCCAACCCTCCCACCTCCTCTTCCCAGGCCACCATTTCCACCGCCCTCTTCCCCTGCACATCTCGCTTCTCTCCACTAAATCCGTCCCACTGCAGGGTCCTGCTGTGTCGTGTGGTCCATCCCTGGGGTCTCCAACAACTGACTCCCATCTGCTCTGACCACAGCCAGGGGCCACATCCCACTGCCTGCCCAGCACCCATCCATGGAGGTGCGCACTGTGTCCCCATCTCCCGCCTCACCCACAGAAGGAGACAATTTATGTGGGAACAATGTCACTAATATGACTGTAGATGGTGTCAACGCTGCTGATCTGCCTCTGTGGGCTGGTCAGAAATGGGGCTGTCATCTGTGTCCTCTGCACAAACCCCATCACCTTTTATATCATCAGTCTGACCTTCGGTGGCTTCCTCCTCCTCCTCATGGTCCTCTCTTCCCTGCTCTACCTGAAGAAGGACATGTGCTGCTCCACTGTCATGCCCCCGACACACTTGGAGTCACTTTTCCACCTGTTGTAGTTCTCTTACAACCTGGGGTCGTACCTCCTGACAGCCACCTGTGTTGATATATTTTATATATTAGTAAAGGCCTGTCTGCACAAACCAGTCTTTGAAATAAGTCGTGATATTAAAGGCTAAAGTCCTTGAAACCTTCCTGAAGAAGAGAGAGTAAAGCAAAACAATATCTTTGTGTGCAGAAGAAAAAAATGTAAACCTGTGTGTGTTAGCCAATAGTAACTTGCTTAACCCGCAGACCCTGTAAAACCCTATATAAGTGTGCTAAAGATAGAAACAAACAGTGTTCACTTTTACTTCTGTGAAGGGTCATGAATAAGCTGGTGGTCTCTCAATACACCTGCATCGGGAGATGCAGATCCATCCTCTGTGGTGTTTCTCCCACCTGCCTTCCAGAGGGTGTTTTAGGAGCCAGAAGAAAACACTGCCTCCAGTGATGAAAACAGTGACCCCAGCAATGAAAACACTGCCTTCAGTGATGATGCCATCATGGACACAGTGGTCTGAGGCTGATGATCCCCTCTGCTGCTCTGCTGAAGGACCCTGGGACAGTGGCTGAGGGATTCCTTGAGTCACCTGATCAATAAATACCCACAGGATCACCCTCCCTGTGCTGGTGCATCCCCCACCCCCTTTTCAGGCCACACTGGACTCTCCTACAGCCTTGTGAGGCCTCAGCCTTGAGGAGCAGCCCCTGGGCTCAGCTCCTCTGGCACTGATCAGAAATGCCCTCTGCTCCCAGGAACTGCTGCTCTCCAACGACCTGCTGAGGTTTGGTGAACAGCCTTGGAAATGATTTTACATCCCTGAATGGCACAACATCCCTGTTCTCACACTTCCACAGAAAGCTGCTGGCCCAAAGTGTGGCCAGGGTGAAACATTGTTGTGGCTGAAGCCCATCTCCTGGGGCCCTGTGAACAGCAGTCCAAAAGGAGACCCTTGGAGCTCTGCTGGGCCCCAGCAGCACTGGCCAGAACCTCCCTCGCACTGGGGCCTCTCCGAGCTGGGACCTCTCCCATTTGCTGCCCTCAGGGATGCCCAAACATCGACAGATCCTAAACCGATCCCCACACTGCTCCAGGCTCAACCCTTGGCACAGCGAGGAGATGCAAAGGCATCCAGAGTGAGCATTTCACTGCCTCCAAGGGGAATTTCCCACAGGGACCTTGCACTGACTCTTTCTGTCTGGGTGCACACACGTGTGCATCTGCTACAGCAAATGTGGGAGAAATGCTGCTCTCTCAGGTGTTTTAGTACCTGAGACATCTGAGCGAGCCAGGCCTGTAAGAAAGTATATGGCATAAGGTAGGTCAAATACTGCTAAGTGTTATTCCTCTGTTGAACTGCTAAGTTGAAGGTGTAACTGAAGTATTGTTACGTTTGAGTGCTTTTAAGTTTTTAGGCCATTTTCCATTTTATCCTTACCCTCACTGTCCTTTTGTCACACACACCTGAACTCACACACAAACACTCAGGAATAGTACTTTGGTGTGCTGTTGCTTAATATGAAACCTGATTTTTTCTTATATCCTTGCAGGTGGTTTTGTGCCTTCAGAAATTCTTCCTCTGCCCTGGCTTTGGCCTCTCCCTCAGCAGGCCTGAATGGTGCAGCTGCAAGGGGAGGAGAGTCCATGGTGCTCAGCACAGCCGCCCCCTTCTGGGAGCAGGGTGACATCTGCATTTGTCACCATGGTCTCTGGGGCATTAACCCTCTCCCTGAGGCTTTGCTGAGGTCACTGAGACAGGGGTGTTCACCCCAGAGAAGGGATGGCTTCAGGGAGACCTCAGAGCCCCTTCCAGAGCCTAAAGAGGCTCCAAGAACTAGAGAGGCAGTTTGGACAAGGGCCTGAAGTGACAGGACAAGGGGGAATGGCTTCCCACTGCCAGAGAACAGGTTTGAGTGGAAGATTGGGAAGAAATTCTTCCCCGTGAGGGAAGAACCTGTGTCCTGGCACAGGTTCCCAGAGATGCTCTGGCCGCCCCATCCCTGGAAATGTTCCCGGCCAGGTTGGATGAGGTTTGAAGCAACCTGGTCTAGTGGAAGGTGTCCCTGCTTGCAAAGGGGTAAGATCAGGTAAAAACAACCACAAGTATTCCCAAAACTGAGGAGGAGGAGCTCTGGTAAAGGGCTGGAAGGGCAAATACAGCACCCCAAAATCTGCTCTCCAATTCCTTTTATTACATCATCAAGGTTATTGGAAGTAAGTAATGTGGGCTCTAATGCTTGATAACCTGGTTGAAAGCATGTCATGGTCTGACACTGGCCAAACTCCAGGCACCTGTGAAAACTGTTCAATCACCTTCTCTTGCTCTCAGCTGGGCAGAGGAAAGGGAAACAAAAATTAACAAAGAGCTCATGAGTGGAGATGAGGACTGGGAGAAAAAACAATCTGAGTCAAAAATAAAAGGTTCAAATTTAATGGTATTAAGTAAATTTATTATTAACAGAGTCAGAGGACAATAATGAGAAATAAATAAAACATTAAAAGACCTTTTTCCCCCCCCAGCTCCATCCCCCCAACAGTGGAGGGAGACAGAGCATAGGTGTTTTGGTCAGTTTGTCACTTGAAAACTTCTGTTTGCTCAGGGAGGAGTTTTTTCTGCTATGTCATTGGATCTCTCCCATGGAAACACTTCTCCATGAACTTCTCCAGTGTGGCTCTAATCTCACAAGCAGCAGTCCTGACAAAATTGTTGCAATGTGAGTGCCTCCCATGGGCAGTCTTCACAAAACTGTTAAGGTGTGGGTCACGCTACCATGGGGTGCAGTCCTCCAAAGGACCAGGCTGCTCTGCTTTGGAAGCTGTGAGTGGATTTCTGCATCCCCCACAGACTTCATGGACTGCCAGGGGAGAGTTTGTTTCATCATAGTCCTCACTACGGCTTGCAGAGGAATCTCAGCTGTGACATTTGGAGCACTTCTTCCCCCTCTTTTTTTCCACTGACCTTGGTGCTGCCATGTTGTGTTCCCTCACGTTCTCACTTCCCTCTCTTCTCTCACTACAAGAAAAACTGCTGCCTGAAGGTACCATGATGGCCCCGGCCACGGCGCATCACCACACACCGCACCGGGATGGCCCCAGCAGCAGCGCCTCGCCACCCCTGGTAAAAACTGTGTGTGCGCTGCTTTGACTTTCTTCTTCAATGTGTCATCACAAAAGAGTTACCAGCCTCTCTGATTGGGCCAGCAGCATGTCCATCTTCAGAGCCATCAGTGATTGGCTTCCAGCAGCTTCTCACAGGAGCCGCTGTCTGTGGCACTCCTTGGCTACCAAAAAACCCAGCTGTGCCAAATCAACACAAAGCAGCTGTTTGCTGTCCTTCCCTTGGGCTGTGTGAGCCTGCAGTAGAATGACAGAAATGGGAATTCTTGGCTTAGTTGTGCTTCCTTAGGCCCAGGGCAGGTTTTGGCAATGATCCCAGAACTCTTCCCAGAAAGGGAGTTGTTTCTGAGAAGCACCCAGATGCTTCACCAGCACTGCCAGCACCGCCAATAAAACATGGTTTAGCTAGAAGAAACCTGGGTTAACCATTAAACTAAGATAGAGAATATATTCTGGTAATATTAACAGAACAAAACACCTATACCAAGGTGTAATAAATTGGGAGCCCTTTCGGGAGTATCTATAAAAAATCTTGGATATTATTGTGTATAAAAATGCCTGAAAATTGTTGTTCCTTTGAACATGTCTATGGCTAATAAATTTCCAATATGTTCACAATTTTGACTCAAAATTGTTATTAGCCTAACAGACTTTTGCTGTTAGACTTAAACTTCTTTGTTTCAGAGGGGACACAGCCATGGCTTCTGCTCCCTGGAGCAACCACGATCCCGAGTGCCCAGAGCTGGGCTGGCACCGGCACAGCTGGCACGGACAGGATGGCCCAGGGGCTCAGCATTCCCCCATGACTGCTCTGAGAGTGTCACAGCAGAGATGACACAGGGAGGCATGCTGCCTTAGGATTTTAGCCTTTATGTTTTTCAACTCCTGTATTGCATTCATGCATAACTCTCAACTCCATATAAAGTGTTAGTTAACTGTCTTCACATTTGGAAAAGAAAAAACAATCCCTCTAGGCTGGAAATTCAAGGACACCCTACTGCCTCAGGCCCTGAAAAGTATAAACAAGAGTGAATTCGGGGGAGCAAACTGGGGGTAAATGACTTCACTACCTGAAGCTGTAATTGGAGGATTGACCCTGATATGTAAACAGAACAAATTTATATATCTGAAAAACTCGTGCCCATTGTCCAATTTGAGTGGAGCCCCTCTCAGAGGCTTTGACTGCCCAAAGTGCACATTTTGAAGGCCTTTAATAAATACCTGCTTTTATTCTCTTTACCTTGTCTAGCCTCTCTTCTAGGTAGCCACTCCAAGGCATCAGGCAGACAGGGCTGGAGAGGGTTGGAGGGGGTCTGGGTGCCACCAGTCCCAAATCTCCCCACTGGACAGCAGCAGAGCACACCAGGCCCTTGCAGACAGGGAGTGGCCTCTGACTGGGAAACCAGTGGGACGGGAGGGGAGGGGAATGGGACGGGATGGGAATGGCGTGAGGAATGTGGTGGAGATGGGGATGAGGATACCAAAATCAGACAGAATAAAGTTATTAACACCATGTTATGGCATTAGCAAGTGAAGCTTTAGGCAGCAGGACACACAAAAGGATCCATCTTTATTTCTGTGTGTGCTGAGACTTTACAACAGGACTTTTATCCATTATAACCACACATAATCATTCAAAAGTTTTTCTGACCGAGTACATAAACACCATTTTCCTAGAACAAATTTCCATGCATTCACTTCCTACTGGGAGTCCTTTTGTGGTCCTGGAGGTTCATTGAGAGAGGTTTCTGGTGGTTGCATTCACTGAGTGCTGTGATATTAAAGGTGACCTTGCCTTGAATTTTGCCTTTGGCCATGCGCTGTTGCTCCTTGTCACAGAACTTGCCCCACAAATACTGTGGCCCTCCTTATCCCTTTCTCCATTGACTCCAGTCACATTTATTACCCTGGCTCCACATTTTTATGTCCTTTTATCTTTTTGGCCACTTGGCCTTTGAGCAACATCAGGGGGGTTGAAAATGTGTATTCTCTGGTTTTATATTAATCCACCACTGACCAGACCAACCTTCCACCTCCCTCTCACACTCCACAATTTCTACCACCTCCCTCCTCCCCTTCACATCTCATTTCTCTCCACTGAATCCTTCCCGCTGCACGGAGCTGCTGAGGAGCTTCATGGTCCATCCCTGGATCCTCCAAGCACTGACTCCCACCCACTCTGACCACAGCCAGGGGGTCACAACGCACCACCTGCCCAGCGCCCACCCATGAAGGTGAGCACCGTGTTTCCTCATTTTTCCACACTGACTGATGGTCCTGTCCCATGTGAGATTAGTGGCAGTGTCGTGATCATACAGATTCTGATACTACTCATCTGCCTCTGTGGGCTGGCTGGGAATGGGGCTGTCCTCTGGCTCCTCCACATTAATGCCATCCCCTGCTTCATCTTCAACCAGGCCATCACTGACTTCCTCTTCCTCGTCTTCATGGTCCCTTCCACCCTGCTCTTCCTGCACGAGGAAGTGTCCTGCTCCACTATAATGTCTCAGATGTATTTGAGCTTGCTTTTCCAGCTCTCCCTGTTCTCCTACAACATGGGGCTGTACCGGCTGACATTCATCAGCTTTGTGAGGTGCAGATACATCCTCTGCCTGGTTTTCTGTGGTTGCCAACTTCCCCAGCGCCTGTTGTGGGTGGTGATGACTACCCTTTCCTGGGCCTTCCTCTTTCTTGCCATCATTGTCATTCCCATGGTGACTTCCCTGTGCCAGTCACAGGAACAGGAGCATTGTCAGGTGGCTCTCCTCTCCATGTATGTCCTCAATTTCTTCCTGTTTGCTGCACCCATGCTCATTTCCAGCATAATTGTCTTCGTTCATTTCAAACCTGGCTCCCAGCAGAGGGAACACAAGAGGCTCGACATCGTCATCTTCCTCGCTACACTCTTCAGTCTGCCCCTCAGTCTCTTGTATTTACTGCAGCAGCTCGAGTACGTGTTTGTGTCCACCCAGGTGATTTTTCTACTCACCTGCATCAACAGCAGCATCAAACCCTTCATCTACTTCTTGGTGGGGAGCTGGAAGGAAGACTGCTCCTTGGGTGGCTGCTGGAGAGACTGCTCCATCGACAGCTGCAGGAGTCACATCTCCATGCAGTCCCTAAGGGAGGCCCTCCAGAGGGTGTTTGAGGAGCCAGAAGAAAACACTTCCCCCAGTGATGAAAACAATGCGTCCAGTGATGAAAACACTGACTCCAGTGATGAAAACACTGCCTCCAGCAATGAAAACACTGCCTCCAGCAATGAAAACACTGCCTTCAGTGATGATGCCATCATGGGCACAGCGGTCTGAGCCTGTTGATCCCCTCCGCTGCTCTGCTGAAGGACCCTGGGACAGTGGCTGAGGGATTCTGCCACGGCGGTGTCAACGGCAGGGGTGCCGCGACTACCCTGAAGAAGCCGTCCTGAAAAGGACTGCCCAGGGGCACAGGCACGTCCTCTGCCCGGCGAGTGATTTCAGCTCAGCGGCAGCATGCAGGCAACACAGAAAGAGAGACTAGAGAGCTGTATGGCATTCCACTGAGAAATAGCCTTTATTATAGCAGGGCCTTCTGTGAAGGGAGCCAGTGACAGCAGCTCGTCGAACTGGGGAGAAACCGGGGTATTTATAGAGGAGGAGAGGGGCGGGGGAAACTTGGATACATGTATCGGGGTGGATTGATAGGGAAGGAAACCAATGGGGTTTAACAAATTAACATGTTCAACTCTAGGGCCTCTGGGACTGACACTTTTTCTTTGCATTATATAAGTGTCTCGCCTAGGGAGAAGCTCTCCAGGGGAGAGCCAGGACCTCTAAACTGGCCGGTTCCCTGGCCTCCACAACTCCCCCTTCTTTATTTAATAAAAAGGCATCTCCCAGAGACCTAGTTATCAACCTTTTGAAACAGGAGTACATACATAGAACAATAATGATAATTTAAAAAAAATCCAAAATATGTTTTTATGGAGGGAGGCAACACATCCTTTGAGTCTCCAGCTTCTAAAAAAGGTCCTCGAACCATTGGGGCTCTTTTTCAGCCTTGAGTTCCTGAACCGCATGTTGGAGTCTCTGAATGCAAGTGTGGATGCCTTCACTGTGACTTGATAGGTTGAAGCAGCACAATCTATCAAATCCAGGGGCTGTGCTACTAGCCAGGCATCCACAGCTGATGTTTTTGGGAGCATCCAGATGGTCAGGAACTTGAGGATGGTTTTGCTCTCCATTTTCTATAACAGAACATAAAAAGATTAACTCTGACTTTGGGGGGGGGG